CCCCAAAACCCCAAAACCCCAAAACCCCAAAACCCCAAAACCCCAAAACCCCAAAACCCCAGGAAAATATTAATTGTAGAATAAGGTTGTTTTGGATTATATATATTAAATTAAATATGGACGAAGAGCTTTTGTACACTCCTGTTAAACAAGAAAGTGTTTTGTCTTTCTATTTGTCCGGTGCAGTAGCGGGATTTGTCTCAATCCTAGTTTCCCACCCTGCCGATACAGTAAAGGTAAGACTTTTCACAGATGTTTTTGGATATCCTAACCAAGATTTCTAGGTGAGACTGCAATGAGCAGAAGCAAGCGTCAGAGCTTCAACTGTGTGAAGATCTATCTACCAGAAGAGCGGATTCCGGGGCTTCTTCAGCGGAGTGAGTGCTCCACTGTTCTTCAGGTCTCCGATTACTGCCTGGTTCTTTACTTCGCACGAGCTAATCAAGCCAAGACTGGAAGTCTTCGGGTGGCAAAGAGACATCACCAACTTTCTCTGTGGCGCCTGGGCTGGAAGCACTTTGCTACCCATTCTAGTCCCGATCGAACTGTTCAAATGAAAATCTCAGAGCGACAAGACCGGGAGATACAACATGGCCAAAGACTTCAAGCACATTATGCGGACTGAAGGCCCAAAAGGACTTTACAAGGGTACCGCTAGTACCTTCTTGAGAGAATCGCCTGGATCTGGACTGCTGTTCATGCTCAAGGACAAGTTCGACCGAGTCTTTAAAGTCGACCAGGAGCAGAATCACTCGAAGCTGATTGCCAAGAAGATCATGACAGGCGGAATGGCAGGAATACTTGCCTGGTGAGGATCCATCCCGCTAGACACTATCAAGAGTATAATTCAGACTTCTCCTGTGAAAAGGAGAATTCCAGAAGTCACGATCGAACTCTACAGGGCGGGTGGACTCTATAGCATGTATAGAGGTCTGATCCCTCAATGTTTCAGGATTTTTCCTGGAATGTCGAGCCTTTTACTTACTTATGAAGTCTTTAAGAACTTCATGAACTAAGAAGGTATAACTAAACTCTTTATGTATAATAAACCGATTGAGATTATTCTCAAATCGTTATCTTTTCAATGGTTTAAAAGGATTTTTGGGAAAATCTTGGGTTTTCACCGGCTTAACTTTTTGTAGGTCTGGGAAGCTAGATATGGCCTCTAAATTGATTTCAGCCCTAGAGCGAGGTCGTCGTTCAAAGACAGACAGAAACGGGAATATTTACTACCAAGTAGATTGAGCAAGAAAGAATTTAAATCAAAGGATGGATGATATCATTGCTCCAAAATATTTCTGTTTCCTTCTGAAAGGAACGAATTGGGCATAATACTATGTTTTCATAACATTTCGACTAATCTATCTCTCAATTATCTTAGTAGCTAACAATTGAAGGTTTCCATGCATTTTATAGCGTAGAGTTAGTTCTAACATTTTTATTGAGTCGATATTATCAATAGAAATGGAGTCATTTGGGGTTTTGGGGTTTTGGGGTTTTGGGGTTTTGGGGTTTTGGGGTTTTTGGG